CTCCTGGTCTATCGTTTTTTGTCTGACTGACTATTTCACATGGACATTTAAGCACAGCTGTTGTTTCTGTTTCATGTGCATGAGTTTGTCCATTAGTTCAGTATCACTAAAGTGACTACTGGTTAACATGCAGTGATCATCGCGTTTCAGTTACTACGTCCTGCTCGTTGTCTGACAGCCGAAACAGGAAAATACATAAATGACAATATTTGTATTGGGAACTCTTTAAATGCAGTATGTGAGCACGGGGAGCAGGAGAGAAGTGAACGGATGCTGCGTTTAGGTTGCAGGTGACATGAAAACAAAGCAACTCACCCAGTCCTTGTTTATTAGTTTAAATTTCCACCATCTTTGAATGTCCCTCAGCGTTACAGTTTCCACAGAGCTCTGTGGATGTATTCAAAGCTAGCGGTACCGTTAGCCACATGAGCTGCAAAATGTGATAGAATTTCTCTATTGTTGTGGTGACATTGTGATCAACACTAAAAGTAATCCTGGGAGTTCATTAAGACTCTTGCTTTCAATCTTGCAGCCAACAGCAGGTTATTTGGTGAGCGTTGCTTCTTGTTGAGATGTTTCGAAGCAGCTCTAGACGGTCAGTAAACCTGTTGGGCTGAATGGCTGCTGCTCGTTGTGAACCTGGAAGCAGCAGAAACGGTTTTGAGCAAAGTTCCGTACAAACAGTTCATTGGTTCAGCGTTTCTATTTAACTGCTCGTTGTTTTCACCCCCAGGTTCATAGCAACCGCACAACACAATAAAAAATGGATTTTCCCCATATGTGACCTTTAAAGGAACACATCAACATTCTGAGAAACACATTTGTTTGCTTTCTTGCTGAGTTACATGAGAAGATCGATATCGTTCTCCAGTCCATCAGTAAACCTGCTGCCAGTAGGTTAGCCAGTTTGGTTGCCTTTGGAGCGAGCCGGTCTTCATGCTTCACAGAGCCACCTGGCTACTACCAGCAGCTTCATATTTAGCGGCTTTACGTGAGAATAGTGCAAATTTTTTCCTCTCAAGAAGGCGAATGGGTGTTCTTCTGCATAATCAGTTCTGGTGATTTAGCACCTCAGCACTCTGCACGCTGTACTGTGATACGCTGATATGCTGACAAGGCCTCAGGATTTAAACCCTGCACTGGACATGCTGATAGAGATGCAGAGCAGGCTGCAAAAGTCTGACGTAAACACTTATTTGGGCTTCACACTTACAGATTGTTTTTTACATTTTTGTCTTCATCTATCAGTGACACTGCTTGGGGCAGTTGTCTTACTGCTGATGGAGTTTTCTGAGGGCCCAAAATGCTTTACACAACATTTGTGGAAAATCAGTGGATTTTCCTTTTAAGACGCCATGCTGCTGAGCTTTTCATGTGTAAAACCTACAATCCTTGATGCCCTGTGCCACCATATTCAGTTTTTAATGAGGAATTATGTGAAAGACTGTCTCGATTGACAGGATTATGTAATTTCTTCTCCAAGCAGGTAGATGTGTGTGTGGTGCTCCGTTGGGCTACAATGGAGTGTCTGAGGAGGTGGACGTCGGGCTCTGCTGTGGTGTTCTTTCACACATTGGCCTTGTCCTGGACGGGTAAGACACCAAGCTACTCTAACATGATATTGTACTATGACTCCTGCTTCATTGGCTTATTGTTGACATTCATTTCAAAATGGATCCTCCAGAAATGTTTATAAAATACACAACTGCTGCGTGATACAGTCTGAAGCAACCCACTTTAGAGTGATAGGCAAATACAAATTATACATATATATATATATATATACACACATACATTTAAATAAGGTTTAGCATCAGCTAAAATGTCTGTTTTTGGAGGGTGACAGGCTGCATGTCCACTGCTGTGGACACTCAGAGTTCTAGCTGTTAAAAGTTTGCGTGTAAACTAGACTACATACAAAAGACGGATGCAGCCGCCATGATGCCATCTATAATTTGGAATGTGGCAGTTGCTGGCTTGGTCCTCTGACACTCAACATAATGAACGAGGAGTAGATCTGACAGAGATCTTGAGGACACCAATACAGTCGCGACTTGTCAATCACACAGTAGCTCAGCCCTAAAACATCTCCTGCTTTATTGTCTGTTTTGCTCTAAATGGGATCATAATTTAAAACATTGACATCATGCTGTATTGAAGGAGGCCTGAAACTGGCAATTGAGACCATGAACTCGTTAGGAAAATGTTTGCTGAGGTTACAGATTAATTTAGGAGTAGGGTCATTTTGTCATAGATTTTTATACAGTCGATCTTCATGTAGCAGCCAGAGGAGTCGCCCCCTGCTGGTGACCGAAAAGAATGCAGGTTTAAGTCACCTTTGCATTGACTATAATCTCGTGGCCACAGGTGCGATTGAGCCCGCCCCCAAAATTGACGGATGGCACCGGGCGGCTTTGACACTGCAGGAGAACATGACGCACAAGTTCAACTGCCAATCAGACGGCTGGGATCCTCGTGCCCCTCCCTTGCTGACCTGGTACCTGAACGGGGAGCCGCAGAGAGAGCCGTCCCCGCACCACGGGCGTCTGGTGATGACATCAAAAGAAGACTCTGAGGTCATGAGACCGGGGACCAATCACAACAGCACCTTCTCTCTGCGGGCCAGAAAGTGGGACAGGGAGTTGGTGTGTGTTGCATCAAACCCCAGGACGGGAGAAAGCTACAACGCCTCCGTCACACTCAACGTCCAGTGTGAGTAGAGCGCATGACGTGTGCTGCAAGTGGGTCGTTATATTTAAAAATGGTTGCTGTGAGTAAAAGGCTGCTCTGTGTTTCAGTCCAGCCAGAGATCCTCAGGGTGAACGCTCAGTACAGTGAAACCTCAGACCCCGGCCTCTCCCTGGTCCTCTTCGCCTTGGTGCGGTCCAACCCGCCTGCCACTATCACCTTCGTGGACCAGTCTGGGCAGCTGGTGGCCAACACTTCTGACTTCCTCATCCTGGACTCGCGGAGCTACCCGTGGCTGACCAATCACTCGCTGAGGGTCACACTCAGTAGCCTATCAGGGAACATCTCGCTTAACGTGAGCAACAGCGTGGGAACGGTGCAGAACAACCTCACGCTGGCAGGTCAGTGATGCCGAGCGGAAAGGTTGTGCCACCTTCCAACCACCTCCTATGTTATACACACTCGAAAACATCATGAAGACATTTGGTCAATTAACACACCTCGTTTACTTAATATAAATATAGAAGTTTTGGTAATTTGTAGGTAATTGAATGGAAAATGTTCAATTTTTATTTGCAGACAACTTTAGAAGTTAGAAGAACTCAAAAATGATGAGTTGAACGAATGAACAGCAAAGAGTTCAGTCAACTCAATAAAGTGAGTCCATAAGAAATAAAACTGGCATCTAATTAGTCCTAGGCCTGCAAGGTGGTGCAGTTGGTAGCACCGTTGCCTCGCAGCAAGAAGGTTGCCGGATCGCGTCCCGGTGGGGGCACCGGAATCTTTCTCCATGTTCTCCCCGTGCAGCGTGGGTTCTCTCCGGGTTCTCCAGCTTCTTCCCACGCAGTCCAAAAACATGCTGAGGTTAATTGGTGATTCTAAATTGTCCGTAGGTGTGAATGTGAGTGTGCTTGGTTTGTCTGTCTCTAAGTGTGGCCCTGCGATGGACTGGCGACCTGTCCAGGGTGTCCCCTGCCTTCACCCCGAGTCAGCTGGGATAGACTCCAGCCCCCCATGACCCTAGTGAGGATTAACCGGTGTATAGATAATGGATAGATAAAATTAGGCCTCCCAGGATTTGCTGTAGTTTAAGAAAACAGACGTGGTAGAAACTTGCTGTGTGTCATTGTTAAATTAATTATGGTTGCTTTTTTCCATAATAATCAGTCCATACATTAATAATGATATTATTATAATTATTATGATCATCTATCTCTGTAACTACTGGCGACCTGTCCAGGTGTCCCCTGCCTTCATCCTAAGTCGGCTGGGATAGACTCCAGCCCCCCGCGACCCTAGTGAGGATTAAGCGGTGTATAGATAATGGATGGATGGATCCCTGTAACTGGAAGCAGTCTGTCTGTGATAATGTCTGTGTGACTTGCTGATTCCACTTAATATCTTACATGTATTGACTTTTAATTTAATTAAACTCTGCTAGTTTAACACTCATAAGACGTGTTTGAACAAACCAATCAGTTGAAGTGAAGTCAACTGACGTTTACAAGACAGCAGAGAAATTTATGTTTCTGACAATTTACAGTTTAGAAAATACACTTATTCTCTTTCTTGCTGAGTTGATTAATTTCCCTCTCATGTCTGTCTGATGTGCTCCAGTCAGAAACTGGTTAGCTTAGCTTAGCATAAAGGCTGGAAACACGAG